GCTTCAAGTTATGTCGGGCGCTGGAAGTTTTGTTCATGAGGCTCGTATCCGAGTCTAATGAGTGCTCCTCCTTTACATGAAAACAAAGACTTCACAACTGATTAGTATTTATTTCAGGCAGAGAATGCACAAGAATCCTGCACCACACCAGCATGCTGCTGTGAGTGTTGGATGACGATGAGGTTGAGCATTCTTTAAAATAATTTGGATGCTTGGAAGCTTTAAAAAGGAATATGCATTGCATTGTATTGCAGAACTGGTATGTGAAGAGAAAACAGAAGAATACGGACTACTGACTACCCAGCGCCTTTAATAAAAATATAATATAATATAATATAATATAATATAATATATTATATTATTTTTTTGGTGTGGGAGCTAGTCAAAATTATTGCAAAACAAGTAAAAATCTGAACTACTAGCCCGTCCTGGCAAATATAAAATATCCTGTTTGAAAATAATCTTTTCAATCACAAATAAAACAAAGCCTAAAGCTGTTTCACATAGATTGTGAACTCTTTTGTAGCAGTGAGCTCTATTAAAGTAGAATCATTTGTCTTGTTCAGCTGTCATGGGACTTTTTGTTGGTGTTTTACTGTAAGGTCAGCATTTGTGATTGGTGTAGAGTGTTGTAATGTAAAATTTCATCTCCAGAATACAGAGAGTCGTGCTTCTATACAAGTCCAGATAGGAGTGTATGTATGAGTGTGTATTTTTCCTGATTCCCAAAAACAGACTTTTTTTTTTGTTGTTGTCCATTTGGGGACTGTTATTTAAGTGTTGAATTACTTGAAATATAGTTGCCCGGTGAAAATAAATAACCTTACCGAGTCAAGCACTTTGATGAGAGCAGCAGGTGTAGACTGGCTTGAGAAGAGCTCCTTAGCTACTCGTTCCAGACAAAAAGGGAACTGTTTGGCATGTAATAGAGAATAAATGGTATAATAAGATAGGCAATGTCAGTTCTCTAAAATAAAAGTCGAGAGGAGAGTTGAATTAATGTATTATATGGGCTTGAGGAAGAAGAAGATATGAAGAGCAAGAGGAAATAGCTTAAGACGAAGTGTTTGATACTGTTTTTTCCCTCCCATGGACAGGTGTTGAAAATTAGCATGTATGCTAAAACACTTAAGCAAATGCATATGGTTCGTCCAATGTAATAAAAATAAAAGCCCCGGTCCTGCACTCATAGCAAAGCCACACATTAAAGAGCCGCAACTCTGGTCAAATAGTCAACAAAGAAACACATTCAAACATATGTCCAGTCTAACGGCAAAGTGCTTCTTTTCTTTGGCAGATTGGTAATGGAGTCTAAAGAAAAGATAAAAATAGATTCTTAAGCAAAACTGCCGGGCTTAGTCCTATGATGTTAGGCCCTTATCAAGAACATATTAACTTAGATCCAACTCGAGCCCTAAATACCCACCTGGACTACGTATTAATGAAGTTAGTAATAAATTTAATCACAATTATGCCAAAATAATTGTCATGGTACACTCTTTAAGATTAAAATAAAGATTCCAAAAGGTTTTTTTTTGTAGCAATGCCATAGAACCATTCTGGGTTCCTCAAAGTACCTTTCAGTGAACAGTTCTTAAAAGAACCATTTTTTTTATGAGTGTGAAGAACATTTTAACAATCTAAAAACCTTTTCCCACTATAAGGAACCTTTTGTGCAATCTAAAGGTTCTATGGATGTTAAAGTTTCTTCATGGAAGCAAAGATGCTAATAAAGATCTTGAATTTTCAAAAGTAAGCAGCTGTTCATAAAAACTTGCATCATGATTGACAGGATTAGATTAACAAACTCCTCTCAAACATTTCTTTAATACTCCATTTAGTGTAAAATGAACTCGTACAAGATGTTTCACGATGTTGAATATGAGTTTTAAACGTCATGTGCACATAAAGGTTCTTTAAAGTATTTCTTATCAAAACTAGTGGATTGTCAAGTTGTCTTTTGCTCTTTTAGAGATTAAAAAAGTTCTTATTGTTACTGTACAATATGGTTTCTTTATGTAGGTTTTCCAAAGTATTGGAGAATGAAAAGTTCTTTGTAAACTTCAAAAGATTTGGGTTGTAAAACACTTTTTAGTTCTTATTAGAGGCAGTAATTTTAAGAGTGTGAGTGATAAAACTCAATGTTCAGGTATTTTTATCGTTTGTATTTATTGCCATGGAAGCATTTTATTTCCTGCTGTGCTTTTATTGATGGTTTATTTTGTTTTTTGACTTTGCAGTTTCAGAGTCCCTACTCCTACTCCCCTCCTTTCCGCTTTGGAACGGTTCCAAACGGCAGCACAGAGAGGAATATCCGTAAGAATTACCCTGACATGCACCAGTACATGGTGAAGTACCATCAGTCCGGGGTGAACGATGCGCTGGTCAGCTTGAAGACTGGGTATGTATAGCACACTCTCACTGTGTTTATCCTGTCAGTCTGAGCAGAATGGGTGAAATAGTGAATGAGTCATTGTTTTTGGTGGCATATAATTGCCTTACACTGAATGCTGGCCATGCTTCATTAAAATGGCATAGTTATCATAAAAGGGATAGTTAACCCAAAAATTACGATTTTGTTATTATTTACTCATTTTTATGTTGCTCCATATGTATGTATGGCTTTCTTTCTTAAGTGGAACACAAACAGTACAAACACAAAAACAAAAGAGTATCCAGGCCATCATCAAGCTACAAAATGTCTTTAAAAATCATACGATAGCTTTGTCTGAGGAACAGACAGCTATTTTAGTATTATATTTCAAATTCAAAAAGTTGTAATAATTTTGTTACGTGCCTTTGTCATTTTTGTAGTTTTTTTTTAAAGATTTTTATTAAGATTTCAGCGTTTTACTTCAACACCAATTTTTTAAGTGTATGTTTTAATGTAAGTTAAAAAAAAAAAAAAAAGTAGTTAACTAGTTAACAATAACAACAATGTGAACAGACTGAAATTTATTATAAACTGAACATTATAAAGTCCTCCACCATCATAGTCACAGCCGAATTAAAGGAGCATCGTGGGTCATTGTGTTTTTTTAATTTTTTTTATCATGCTTATCTCTAGATCAGTGGTTCCCAAACCTGTCCTGGAGGCCCCCCCTGTCCTGCACCTTTTGTATGTCTCCCTTATCTAACACACCTGATTCCACTCATCAGCTCGTTAGAGACTCCAATAACTAAATTGGGTGTGTCTGATTAGGGAGACATACAAAATTTGCAGGGCAGGGGGTCCTCCAGGACAGGTTTGGGAACCACTGCTCTAGATAAATAAAACCTCGGTTCTAACACAAGGAAGTTTGTGCAGTTTTTGGTTAATGAATATGATAAAAATCAATGATGAACAAATGGCCATAGTTCATTTTCTGACAATTTTACTAAGACAGTTCAGCTTCATATAATTCAAGAAATCTGAGTATTATAAGGTACAGTGAAAGAAAAGCAGTAGATCAGCAGTGAGTGTTATTAAACAGCTTTCATTATCTCTCTGAACTGCAGCAAGACTGTGTCGTTGTATATTTGCAGATGGGTACAGCACATGCACAATATTAAATTACCTTACAGTATATTAATAAAGCGTAGACTCTAAAAAAAAATCTGTGACATTTACGGTAAAATACCGGCAGCTGTGGTTGCCAGAACTTCACCGTAAAAAATATGGTAGCAACATTTTAGGTTTTACAGACTTAACTTAAATTCACAACAAAATACCGTATTTCATTAACTGATGTAATGTTAATAAACCA